AACAATTTTAATTACTTGTGTGATTATAAAGATGTGGGTAACCCACATCTTTATATACGACTTTTGATGGACCTCGACCTGCTATGGGCGGCGGTACAGGCGAGTCGGTTATTAAGTAGTTTTGTACTCTGGTGTGGTAATATTTTTATCATTTTTGCACCCGTGTGTTCCCGAGTGGTCGCGAGTGGTCCCGTGTGTTCCGTGTAGTATTTATTAGCATCCGGAACTATTTAGGGTTTCTGTCAGAGGCTTTACGGTATTGCTAAAAGAGGTTTGTTGAATGATAGGTATGTTTATTGTAACTCGCTAGGCCTAACTAAAGTAGGCCCTACCTAGCTAGAGTATTGTAGTAATTATTATATTATACTGTGATAAATACCGAGTGAAGCTTACCTTTATCCAATGGGATGTCTTCCTAGGCGATAATACTCCAATAAGTATAAATCCAAACACAGAAGTACACACATTACAGTTAGTTATACTCCTGCAAAGACCCGGACACAAGATACACCATAAAACCTATCGTCAATAGTGATGCTCTCAGCCTGAAGTCTGGTGTACGAGTGAATCCCTCCCTTGCACACCTGGGGCAGGATATGCAAATACACAGATGCCGGGGTTAGAGGTCGTTGCCGTTAATCGGTCTCTCGAACAGACGGCAGCCGTCACTACACTCCTCCCTTATTTGAAAAGAGCTGACAACATCCCGTTGATAACCAGTCGAACAACGTATGGGCTCGCTGAGTCACATATTGTACAGGAAACCCGGTAAACGTACACTGATATCCTCAACAGGGAATAATGCAAAAAGCAGTTCTCTCGGATGTTCACTATGCTGAAACATCCGGGTCTGAAAGGAGTAAATGAGTAAGTAAATTAATTTCCAAAACAAAAATAAGAACAAACATAAATACTTCTTTGTGGAACGAAAATCGAATTTCTAGAAGAGGTCTCGACCGTTCTTCCAGGTCAGGTCTAAGACCTGCCTGGGGTCCCGGCCGAGCACCTCCCCCAGTGCTGCTGCCGCCCACAAGAGATGGGGTGCACCAACTCACTGCCACGTCGAGGTGCAGGTCCCTTGTGATAAAATTTATTCCCCGTGTCGTGGGGTAAGATTGAGGGTCACAGTAAACTGCAACGCCTCCCGCCACGGGACAAGCGTCACCTCGGGATGGCTCCGCCTGCTCCAGGTCACTGAGGTTAGCCATAAATGATACTCCCAGCCTCTGGCGAAGACGGTCCATATAAAAATGTGCGTCGGCATCGAACCCTGCGAAGAATGCGGCTCCCACGTGATTAGGGACTTTTAGATTGTGTGGACATGGACCTGGTTCACGTCGACTAGTCATGCGTGTCAACGTAGTCAACTATACCTGTTGACTACAAATAAAAACCTTTTAGATTTCAGTCGACGATACGTCGACATGTAGTGAACTACATTACGTGCTATCAGTTCGCGCGCGCTAGGCAACCTTATTAAGCAGCTGTCATGGCGAACCTTCATCGACTTCGCGAAATTATTGTCTTAGCATATTCTACCGGTGTCTTGGACGATGAGGAATTCATGTTGTTATACAATACAAATAAACCCACAAATGCCGAATTCAGGTACCGAGATTATCAGAGATTTGATCTAGACAAGTACAACAATGATGAATGTAATGCGTACTTCAGGTAAGAACCTTTTTTTTCTTGCAGTCCCACCCAGAATTATGGTACAGTAGTTGATACGCAAAATCTGGAGTTGCTAAACACTCCACTTTAGTTTTAGGCTTAGCAAAAGATTTTAATGTTATTAATCAAGAGCTCTATAAAAGACTATAGATCTAGATCTAAATTATGTATAAATTTACAAAAATAAACATTCATTCAAAAAGAAAAAATCCATCTCCAATCTAACCATAAATCTAAACCATAGATTCTTTCCCCTACCCCAGCCTCCATGGTCTAGTTGAAACAAGGTTGCCTATTTCAAGTTAATAAATTTTATCCAACTATTTTCTGATTTATTTGTAGGTTCAGAAAAGATGATCTCCATCGTCTGAAAAGCGTACTCGACGTTCCAGCTATCATTAGATGCAAAAATGGATCGAGAGTTGATGGTTTGGAGGCCCTCTGCATTTTGCTAGCTCGTTTCGCCTACCCTTGCAGATATGGAGACTTGGTGCAGATGTTTGCACGAGATGTACCACTCTTGTGTGTGATCACAATGCACATGATGGATCACATATACAACAATTTCAGTGACTTACTGACAACAATGGACCAACCATGGCTGTCATCCGAGAATCTGCTCAAATATGCCACAGCAGTGCACGAGAAAGGAGGAGCGCTTCAGAACTGTTGGGGATTTGTAGATGGGACTGTGCGTCCCATCTGCCGTCCCAAGATCAACCAGAGAATAATGTACAATGGGCACAAAAGAATACATGCTCTTAAATATCAGTCTGTGACTGCGGCTAATGGAATGATAGCCAATTTGTTTGGGCCTATTGAGGGTAGAAGACACGACAGCTTCATGCTTCGTGAATCTGGTCTGTTGACAGAACTGGAACAGCGGTCCTATGATCCTCATGGCAATGTCCTCTGTGTATATGGGGACCCTGCATATCCCTTGAGGGCCCACCTGCAATGCCCATTCAAAGGAGCAAATGTAACTGCTGAGCAGGAAGCGTACAACAGATCTATGAGCACTGTGAGAGTGAGTGTTGAGTGGCTGTTTGGCGACATAGTCAACAATTTCAAATACATTGACTTCAAGAAAAACCAAAAGGTTTGCCTCTCAGCTTGTGGAAAAATTTACTTGGTTTCGGGATTGTTAACCAATGCCCATGTTTGCCTTTATGGCAATTCAACTTCCCGCTTCTTTCAACTTGACCCTCCAACATTGGAACAGTACTTTTCATAAGTCCTCGGTAAAATTCCAATGAGTATTATTTACATTAATTTATCCTGTAGAACTCAATGGCATTGCAATTACATATGTTTGGTTAATAATAATAATTTAAATGAAAGTGCCTGTGCTTGCTTCGATGAAGGTATGAAAATATACTAAGATCAAGTGAGGTTTTCAGAGTGTTGCATGTCAGCTACATATGCCAATATATTTTGGTAATAGATGTACATACCATTGTTCTTCATGTCCGTGAGCATGAACAAATAAACGAAATAACCTGGTATCAATTAGTTCTTGGTCTATTTATTCATAAATATCAATAAAACTGTTCACATGTTAAATGTTGAAAATACTTTATTTCTTAAGGTCCTGCTAATCCACTACTGAACCTCCCTTTTAATAGTTAAAACATGCCTTTATAGTGAATTTATACAACTACTAAATAACTGTAAAATATTTATGTAATACTAACAGTTCCTCTTGATTCTCTAAAATGAACAACAAAAATGAGAACACATTATAGAGTACTGCCAAATATTTCTTTTAACATATATGAAGGCAACCTCCTTACAACGCCAAAAGTATGGTACATGAAAAAATAACCTTGTGGTTGAACTAACTTTCAGGGGGCAAAAACGTGCAAAATCAAACAGAAATGTTTCTGAATGTTTGCTTCAATATGTTACAAAAGAATGACAACACTAACTTTTGTATCAGTATTTCTTTCAAGTTACTCCTTTTCCTTCTTCAACATCATCATAATTAACTGATTTTGTTGTAGTAATTGTTGATGGAACATTTCCATTTTCCTTTCTCTCTCTGCTTCATCTCTTCTCCTCCTCTCCACTTCTCTCTCTTCCTTCTCCCTCCTTCTTTCTTCATCATGCCTCCTCCTTTCCTCTTCCCTCTCTTCTCTCTGCTGTCTCCTTTCCTCCTCTCTTTCTTCTCTTTCCCTTCTTCGGTCTTCATCTTGCTGTCTTCGCTCTACTTCTTCTCTCTGCATTTGGAACTCACGTTCTTTCATTTGCTGGTCCAACTCTAATTTCCTCATCAAAAAATCTGTCGCCTCATTTCCAGTGTTCCTTCTCTTCCTTGGTTGTCCATCTTTCTCTGATTTAATCCTGTAAAATAAAAGTTTTGAGTAATGTAAAAATAACACTTTTCTTTTTGAGGTTATACATGCAAAAATCTTTCGAAATTTTAGTTTTCTAAACATGCATTTGTACATCAGTCTGCTGTTGGAAAAAAATGTTTCCCATTCATGGACACACGGTTTAATTTTGTACCTATATTCCTTCCACATCTTGGTTTGTACTTAGCTTTTGATATTTATTCATCCTGTTCAATAACACTATTTTCAATGCTAAAAATTAGATAGGGCTATAGCCCATTTTAGATTGCACATTCAAATCAAAAGAATTGAGAAGTAACACTTTTTTGGTAAA